GATAATAGAAGAAAAAGAATCAGAAGCCATCAGACTACCACTACCCCTCACAGGACTGGGGTGCAGCAGCCCTAAAACACAAAAGCGGACATATGCATAGGCCAAATGCTAATGCTGGCAGCAATTATAATCAAGCAAAATAATAACAACAGGGCTGGAGAAATGGCTTACTGGGTGAGAGCATATTGCTCTTGCAGAGAACCCAAGTTCAGTCCCCAGCACCGACAGTAGAGAGATCACAGCAGCCTGCTGTAACTCCAGCTCCAGGAGAGCCAATGCCCTCTTCTGGATTCCAAAGGTACCTTCACTCACACATGTGCACACCCATACATATGCACATAATTAAAAACAAATTTTAAAAATTATCATTAATACTTTCAACAAGATAGTTGGGTGTGGTCACCGTGGCTGTCACCCTAGCGCCTGGAAGGGTGAGGGAGGAGGACCACATGCAGGGATTTGTCACCATTATCCCAGTTCCACCAGAGGACTTAAACTCCAACGGTTCCTGGCACAAAGCTGTCCATGTAGGTTCAAGTGACCTAGTGATCCCAGGTCAGAGCACATGTTTGAGGACAGCCTAGGCCACATGGTATCCAAATAGAAAACCGGAAAAATAAGAGGCAAGAGACTAAAATGGGGCTGGCAATATGCCTCAGGAATTAAGGGCATCCGCTGTCCTGCAGAGGACCTGGGTACGAGTTCCAGCATCCACAGGGCAGCTCACACCCATTGTAACTACAGTTCCAGATCTGAAGGCCCCTTCTGATCTTTGCAGCCACCAGGCACATACCTGCCACACATATGTAAGGGCAGGCAAAACACCAATACACAGAAAATCAAAAAATTCTAAAGAAAAGAAAGTACCCATCTGTAACCCTCCGCACCCAGAAGACCTCTTGGCACGAGGCAAGTTAAGCAAGGCCTGGACTTCAGGTCAAGTTTTAGGCTCACCTGGGTTACAAAGCAAGATCTGGAGAGAAAAAAGCAAAAACAAAAAAACAAAAACCCAGCCAGGCGTGGCAGTCCTGCCTGTAAAGTCCACGCTGGAGAGAATCAGGCGGAAGACAGCTGTGGGATTGTGACAAGCCTAGGCTACGTAATGAGTTCCTGGTCAGCCTGGGCTACAGTGTGAGAGACTAGCTCAAGCAAAGAATAGTAGCATGTGAGGGCATAGATGTCAGGAAACAAAAGAAACTCTAAAATCAGAAGTGAAAGTTCACATACAAATGAAAGTGACTACGGAGAAAATAAGCCAAAATCATCCTCAGTCTGCTGGAGAGATGCTCCTGTTCTGTTTGTATTTAAAGAGCCAAAGACTCAGCCTCGAATGAAAACAGACCCACATGCCACTTTAAATTCACGACACCCAGAACGAAGTGAACAGAGGCCAAAGGACTGAGGAACGCTCAACCACAGCACTGGGAGCAGGTCCCGGCGGAGCAACAGCTTCAAAGGTCTGAAGGAAAAAAGACTTCAACCAAGCTCTTCGGTTAGCAAAATACCACCCAAGCAAGAGGACAGAGCCAAAGCCCTGACCTTGCAAGAGCTCCCAAACCACATCGTCCCATCAAAACCCTGCTAGACTTGGAGCACCACTACAGAGGGTAAACCACTCAAAGAAATCGGATTACAGGAGAGACCCAACACAGGTGCGCTGTGGAAGCCAGCTATGTCCCTGAGCAGATGGTACCAGGCCAAATGGAAGCAGCACAAAGTCCCAGCTGCTCTGCAGCCTTCAACCTGAGCATGCACGCCCTGGAGCCTGGCCCAGATTCCTATCGCCACTTGGCTGGGCTGGCTTCATCTGGAGCATATGCTGATGGTGTTTCTCCTGCAAACCCTGAGGCCCACATCGACAGTGGCCAGGCACTCGCCTCCCCGAGGGGTTTGGCTGTGACGGACCCTGGCCATTGCTGAGAGGCTGTGGGTAATGCAGAGGCAGAAATGACCATATCTGCTGTCCCTCCAGTCCTCAGTACAGAGCCCCTGCATGTTCTGGTTCTCAGGGTTCTCCCCTGAGTGGTGCAGCCTTGACACCCTCACAAAGGGCCCCTACAGGAGCCAGGCAAGCCCAAACCATTCTATCAGCTCACCTCTGCCTGAAAGGTATAGTGACAAGACTGTCCTTTCATTAAGGTCAAGTGTTCATTTAAGATTATAAACAATGTAAACAACTGCAAGTCAGGGAATTCTACATTCTCCAATAGTAAATGTAGACCCCATGTGCGTTCTGGAAGACCTGATCTTGTCCTAAGGGTATTTAATGAACAGTTACCTATTGATAAAGATGAAGATAATTTATAACCTCTGAAGAAATTAATTAAGATATGATTTGGATTTGTATAGGCTAGTAGAGAAAATTCATTCCAAATACTGTGATTTTTTTCTTGCCCTGTGAAATATAAGCTTGTTATATCTAATATAGCAACTATGAGACGTTCTTTTCTCTATGAACTACATAAACACCCACTCCTTTAAATCTTTTTTTGGAAAAAGTTTCCTAATGCTTAAATAAAACTTGGAACCATGGTCACTATTTTTTCTTTTCTTGTTTAATTATTTATTTATTTTGTTTTTTTATTTTGGTTTTTCAAGATAGGGTTTCTCTGTGTAACAGTTCTGGCTGTTCTGGTACTCACTTTGTAGACCAGGCTGGCCTAGAACTCACAAAGATCCACGTGCCACTGCGCAGCTATGCTCACTATTTTTTTCACCACTTAAAGTTTATTTATACGAGTGTGTGTGTACCTATGTGAGAATACTCCTTGTGTGTGGGTACCTATGTGAGAATACTCCTTGTGTGTGTGTGTACCTATGTGAGAATACTCCTTGTGTGTGTGTGTACCTATGTGAGAATACTCCTTGTGTGTGTGGGTACCCTCAGAGGCTAGAAGAGGGTGTTATCCCCAAAAGATAGTTACAGCTGTGAGCTGCCTGACATGAGTGCTGGGAAATGAACTCAGGCCCCTGGAAGAGCAGCTTTTTAATTCTAATATGTATTGTGCATGTATGAGTGTGTGTGCACGTGCGCATGTGTGTTCGAGCATGCATGCCCATGAAGAGAACAAAGGTCAATGCCTGCTCTATTGCTTGAGATGAGGGATCCATCATTTGGGCTAGAGTGGCTGGTAATCAAATCCCTAGGACTCATGTGTATCTGAGCCCCACCCCCAGTGCTAGGGTTACAGCTGTGAGTCCTAAAATTCACTTTTTACTTGACTTGCAGTGGTGGCACACACCTTTAGTTCCAGCACTCGGGAGACAGAGGCTGGTGAATCTCTGAGTTCCAGGCCAGCCTGGTCTACAGAGTCCCAACAGACACACAGACACACACACACACACACCTGTGTGGAGTGCAGCGCCCATCACACACACACACACACACATACACACACACACACACACACACACGCACGCACACGCGCGCGCACACACACACACCTGTGTAGAGTGCAGTGCCCATGAGTGCAGGTGCCCACAGGGAGGGTCAGAGGCAGGAGTTTCCTCGAGTTAGTGACAGGTGAGCTGAGTCTAAGTATTCCCTTCTGAGAGCAGGAAGCAGCCTCTTAACCCTCTGAGTCAGCTCTCCAGTCCTCCATCAGCTTTCTTGTGTAAAGACTAAGTCCACATATATCAGTGTGGAAGTGTGTCTTCATTGCTTGTTCCCAAAAGCATTATGCTATGATAGCCTCCTTTATGTCCACTGAGGACATAGAGCGCAGAGTGAAGCAATGACAATTTTGAGGATTTCACTTTGTTTTTCAAGACAGGGTTTCTCTGTGTAACAGCCCTGGCTGTCCTGGATCTCGGTTTGTATACCAGGCTGGCCTCGAACTGACAGTGATGCGCCTGCCTCTGCCTCCACAGTGCCAGGATTAAAGGCGTGTGCCACCGACGGCGGGCTTGAGAGTTTCACTTTTTATTTGACGGTTCTGTACTGTCCGAATGCTTTATTATCTCATATCCTTCTGCAATGTTTAAGTTGTTTTGCACATCATGTCAGTTTTGTTATATTAAAAGGCAAATACGGATTATAGAAGATTAATTATTTACCTCTGGGCCCCAGAAGCAAACAAAACACAGCCATGAAGGCTGCTGGCTGAGACAGGAAGACAGGGGAGGTCAAAAGGGCGTGTCTCCTGGAGAGGAAAAACTACATCCTCACCGCGTTCCAATGAAACCTGCTTTTCCTGCAGCATCGCTATGCAAATGGACCTCTGGGTTTCGGTTTAGGATCGGGAAGTCCTTCCACACTCTGCTAAACTGTTGAGTTGCCTGGCTCTGCTCTTTGGGAACGTACACAGGCAGAAAAGACAAACGGACTAAGAGAAAGGACTATGAGAAAGGATGGCCAAGTTCAGGAATAGGCGCCTCCGGGATTACCCAGAGAAGGGACTTGAGGTGCGAATAGGGTGGTGGGTTTGTGGGAGAGGGTGGGGGAAGGAGACTTTTCTCGAGTGAGCAGGTTTGAGTTCCCACGCCCCCTCCTCCCACGGCAGCAGCGTCCGCGGCTGCAAAGGTCAAGCATGGCTCTGCCGTTGAGGCTGCAGGACCTTCCAGTGGCGGAACTCGCAAACCAACTTACGGGCTAACGTACCCCAAATGGCCTAGCCCACGCCGACCGCTGCCCCCGCGGCGGCCACCCCTGCCCCTCGCGCTTGCTGGGCGGACGGGGAAGTCAAGGCACCACGGGGCGGGGCGGGGAGGACGGAGGCTCGCCCAGACCCTCGGGGTGCGGGTGCGGGCGGCGCCCCGCAGGCCGCCCATGCCCGCCCGGCCTCCCTGGGACGCTCCAGGCCGCGAGGCAGAAGCCTCCCGGCCCCCGGTGGGGAAGCGCGGCGGAGCGGCCTGCCCGGGCCGCGGAGAGCCACGGCGGCCGGGGGAGGAGGGGGACGCGGGCGCAGGCCGGCCGGGCCCCGCGGGTCGCCCGCGCGCTCCCCCGCACCCCAGGCCGTGCCGGCGCCGGCGCAAGCCCGACAGCTGCCGGCCGCACTCACCCGGCTGCCAGCGGCGTCCACGCCGGACCCGGGCGGGCGCAGGGACGTCGAGGGCGCGCGTCGGCCGCGGTGGCTGCCGCCCGCTCCACCTCAGCCCGCGAGCCCGGGAGCCGGCGGCGGGCGCCAGGCCGAGGCGCTGGTGGGGCGGGAGCGAGGCGCCGTGCGCACCGCGGCGACCAATGGGCTTGCAGCAAGTGGCCTCCGTGGGCGGGCCTTAACCCCGGGAGGCGGGACAGGAGCATCGGGGGCGGGGCGGGGAGGGCCCCGTGCTCCGCGTGGCGACCAATCAGAGTGCGGCCGGTGAGGCAGGGGCGGGGCCTGATCCCTGGGGGCGGGGCTAGCGCGGTGCTCAGCTGTTGTCCTGGAGCTGAAGGCTGCTGGACCCCGCTTGGCTGCGGTTGATGGCTGTGTAAACCCAGGCGAGCGCCGCCGAGAACGCCTGCGGGAGGGACCCGAGCCTACTACGCAAGATCCCTTTGCTGGTCGGCGGGTGTGCATTGTTCACCTCCTGCCGAGAGTCGAGCACGTGCTCCAAGACATTCCGAAACCGAGACCTAAGGAGACGAAGTTAAACGCCCAGGGATTGCAGTCAGTACTGGTTACCGATGGCACCCTCAAAATAAAGCTGCTGTTTCAGCCTGATGGCTTTTCTTTTTTTTTTTTTTTTTTTTTTTCCCATTCATCCACCAGATTTTTGGCTTTTTCAGGAGCGAATCTCTACTGATCTCCTTTAAAGACATTGCATCTGGATTCTCGGCATAACTTCCAGAGGTCACATTCCCTACAGATTATAAGCGCAATCGAGGAAAGATGCAAAGCCCACGTTATTAGTAAATTGAATGCAAGCGCCCTTTACCTAGGTAGAATAAAGCAAAAGGTTTTTGTGTTATGTCACTGTCACAAATGTCATCCTGGGTCCTGTTCCTCCCATAGTTCTTGTACATAATCTGGGGCTCAGATGCTTGACAAATATTCGCTGCATAAATCCCTTTATGAAGTATAGGGTTATGCATGCACCCTAACAAGCCAGGAAGGAGGACACCTGTCCCCGAACTAAGCGACAAGCGACATAGTGAAGCTGGTATAGTGTTAGCCTTGAATACACAAGACTCTGCATTCTATCCCCAGAGTCACAGCAAACAGGTGTGTCGGTACATGTATGCAATCCGTACATGCCCGAATGCCCAAGCCAGACTGGATTACATAGAAAATTCAAGACCAGCCTGAAGTGAGACCCTGTCTCAAAAATAACCAAGGCTCTAGGACGTAGTGCAGTCCTACATTGTCTGTCCAGCATGTGCAACTTGGTTCCATTCTCCATCAGTTAAAAAAAAAAAAATGGAACTGGAGAGGTGGCTCAGATGTCAAAAAGCAGTGGCTGCTCTTCCAGAGGACCCTGGTTTGCTTCCTAGCACCCATATGGAGGCTCACAGCCATCTATAACTCTAGGTCCAGGGCATCTGCTTCCCCCTTCTGGCTTCTCTGGGCACCAAACATGCAAATGGTGCACATACATCCATGTAGGCAGAACACTCATACATATAAAATAAATTTAAACTCCATCACCATGTATGTAATCACATGCTTTGGGTTTTGTTGTTGATTTTGTTTTGTTTTTCGAGACAGGGTTTCTCTGTGTAACAGTCCCGGCTGTCCAGGAACTCACTCTGTAGACCAGGCTGGCCTGGAACTCACAGAGATCCTCCTGCCTCTGCCTTCAGAGTGCTGGAGTTAAAGGTGTGTGTCACTAACCGCCAGGATCATAGGTTTTGTTAAATCCCTGTTGCCAAAGCACCTTCAGAGGCCCCCTAGACTGGGCAGATCTTGTAACTTTAGGATCCTTTTCTCCCTCCGACCGAGACTGAAGACCCACTTCATGTAAAACAGCAAATAGCCAGAGAGGAGAGCAATCACTACATGGGGGCTGTCCACATGGGACTCCGTAAATTCTGATTTGTCTCTAACTGTCAGGATTTTCCATGGATTACTTCTAACAGTGCAATGTACAGCCCTCCAGCTCAGAGTGCAAAGCAAACCAGAAGACTGAAGAGCTATGCAAACATGGATGTGTAAACATCCTCAAACAGCGAGATCTCTCCTCCGGTAAGCTTTCCGTGTTGAGCAACAAAAAGGCTTCAAGACAAGGTTATGTTGTATTCTAGGAAGGCTGCCTTGAGAGGGTGCCAGAGTCTTCTGGAAATATGGCGTTGGCTTTCTGGGGAAGGAAGGTCTGTGAGTTGATCATTGGTGAAAAGACTGAAGCCCAGGGCTAATCTAAAGAAACTCTCTAAAGTGCCTGGGCAGTGGTGGTGCACGCCTTTAATCCTGGCACTCAGGAGGCAGAGGCAGGCGGATCTCTGTGAGCTGGAGATCAGCCTGCTACAAAGTGAGTTCCAGGACAGGCTCCAAAGCTACACAGAGAAACCCGGTCTCAAAACAAAACAAAATGTAAGTAAATAAAAATAAAAACAAACTCTAAAGCTTTTAGTTTTCTGCTTTTGGAAGTCCCGTGGCTGAGCAATACAGTATTAGTCACCCACAGCTTTACTCTAGAAACGCCTCTGGTGTGTGGGTCGCAGTGACAATAGCTGAGGTTTGATGGCCACCTACCCCTTTACTTAGGCCTGTATAAGTGCCTGGTGACACTTTGGTGACAGTGCACTGAATACTTTAGCCCCGGTCACATTAATGACACCATGTCTTTAACATGTGCGTCACGAAGAGGCACGACATGAGTATCAGAAGATGGAGATCACTGGGGAGCATCTTGAAGGCTGGCTATTACACTTACTTACTTGGTAATATTTTATTCTAAATTAAAGGGGGCCTCTAATTTCTTCTGGTGTGTGTTTTCCCTGAGCTCTGCAAATGCAGACTGCAACAGCTGTGTGATGTATATAACTCCAATACCAGAGGCTAGGCAGACGGCTCAGCTGCTGAAAGGCTCACTCCACAAGCAGGACTCGAGTTCAGATCCCCAACACCCACATTAAAAGCTGGGCACAACAGTGTATGCCTGTTGTGCCGAGTGAGGTGGAGACAAGAGCATCTTTGGGGCTCACTGTCCAGCCAGATCAGCGCATCTTGAAGCTCTGGGTTCAGTGGGATACCCTGTCTCAAAAGATGAGATTGAAGAACACACTTGACATCGACCTCTGACCTCCACATGCACGAACACGTACACACGCATACCAACACACAAATAATATGACTTTTCTGGGTACCATTCCCAAGAGAGTGAGGCACAATTTTCCTACCAAGTTCACAGTGGTTGTATTGTGAGCGTGTTAGCGTAATTAATAGCATGCTAATAATATGGTGCATTTGTGCGTAATATCATTCCATGGTAGGCTCGGATAATGAGCAGGCTTTACATTCATGTGACTGCTTAGTGGGACATTTGCAAGTCAGGTGAAGCAAGGAGAAATTCCTGGCTGTGCTTAACTGCCCTGAACACTGGCAAACACCTGGTAATCCTGCCTGGGGTCGGACATGACGTTTGCAATACTAGCCAGCAGGATGGCATGGACTTAGATGCCATTCAGAGTGATCGCTAGCCAACATCAGATCACGCAGGCATGAATGAGCCCGCTAAACAGAAAGTCTGCTGGTAGCAGTGTCCTATCATTGTAGCTAAGGATTCCTCTTAAAATGCCCCTAAAGAACAGCACCCCCCACACACACACACACACAAACCCAGAGCCAGTGATTTGCTAATCAGGACTCCACCTGTAGCCAGCATTTTGTGACCAGTAATACCTGGATCCTGCCAGTTGGGTGTTATTTGTCTCCTTGTGCGCGTGAATGTGAGTATGTGAATGTATTCATATGTATGGGCAAGCGTGAAGGAGCCAGAGGGCTTCGACCTGGGGTACCCTACCCTGCACTTGCTTTCCTACTGCTTTGATTTGGAGGGGGGTTGTTTTGCTTGAGACGCGGTCTCTCTCTGGGACCAGGGGCTTGCTGGAGTTTAATGATGCTTCAGGTCATTGGTGCTGGTATGGGCCCTCAAGGAGCCGAGGCTGTCAGTGCCTGAGAGAGAGAGAGAGAGAGAGAGGAGAGAGGGAGAGAGAGAATTTTCTCCAAGTTCTGCGTTGACAAGTATACCACTTTATCTGGCTGAATGGGATTTTAGGTAACATTTTCTTTGAAGCTTTAAAAGCTTCTTTAAAGCCAAAAGAGTGACAGCAATTTTCCATAAACTTAGGAGAGTTAAGTGAATACATATTAGAGGTCATCTTTGTTTGAGATAGGATCTTAAATAGCCTCGGTTGTCCTGGAACTTGTTCTGTAGAGCAGGCTGGCCTTGGAGCTCACAGAGAACCACTGCCTCTGCATGGAGAACGATGGGATTGAAGGAGTGCCTGGCCTTATATTGGATTATTTACAAGTCGCAGCTCTTTAGCCCTCACAAACCACTTCATTACCCTCCCATATGAATCTGTAGGACAGTGAAGTTCAGTTGTTTTCCCCAAAGCACATGCCTCCAAAATGCCAGAGCTAGGCTTCCAGCCAGAGGGGCTGGGCAGATGGCTCAGCAGGTGAAGTGCATGTCAGACAAGCATGAGGACCCCAGCCTGAGCCCTGAGATGCACATGCAAAGTCAGGTGTGCTCGTCAGGTGTGGTAGCGCCCACCTATAATCCCAACCCTGGGAAGGCAGGAACGGGAGGTTGCCCCGAGTTTTGCTGGATGACCAGCCCAGCTTACTTGGTGAATCCCAGGCCAGTAAGAGGCTGCCTCAAAGAACGGAGTGCATAATGCCTGAAGAACAGCACCCAAGGTGGACTTCTGACCAGTGCATGCGCGCACACACACACACACACACACACACACACACCACGGGTCAGGGACTGAGACACAGCCCCATGCAGAGAGAGTCCTGCAGAGAGAGCTCTTGTGGCTCACCTGCTATAATGTAGTATACGGCTAGTTCCCTGGCACTGCCTCATGATATCATGTCTTCCAGTCACGGTTCTTAGTTGTGAAAGGCAATCCCCATTGCTTCAGGGATCCTGAAGAACAGGCTTGGCAAAAGACCTCGAGTGAGCATCACATCGAAGCCAGGGACCTGATAGCCACCGGTAGCCACCGGCACATGCTGATTTGCTTTCTAAGCCAGTAGCTCTAACTGGCCGCCACCCACTTCCTGCGCCAGCAAAGAGGAACCACAAATAGCCAACTCATAGTGGCAGGGCAGTCAGGAACTCAAGCAGAGACCACAGCAGAATTCTGCTTTCGGTTTTGCTCCTCTGGCTTGATTTCGTTCATTTATGTATTTATTTTATTTATCTGTTTTGAGACAGAAAGGTTTCTCTGTCTCTCACTTGGGTGATCTCTCAAACATGAGATCATACTTTGTAATCAATCATGTGTGTATGGTGATTGCGGTCTTTCTCTATAAAATGAGAGCCTGAACCCTTTGGGGGGTGTGCAGCTTTCCCCGAGATTGCCGAAACCCGAGTGCACTCGTTCAATAAACGCCTCTTGCTTGTTGCATCTCCTGGTTTTGGTGTTTGTGCCGCGGGGCTCTCCCATGGGCCCATCAGGACCCCAGAATTAGGGTCTTACACTTTTAAAAAAAGGAGAAAAGAAAAAGAAAGAAGAACAAAAGAAAATGCCCACAGGTTTGCTTGCCTACAGGCCAGTCTGATGGGGGCATCTTCTGGAAGTTTCCTCTTTCCAGATGACTCCAGGTTGCATCATTTGGGAAAAACTGATGAGCTCAGGTGAATAGTGTTAGGTATGGACGACTTCAGTTTGTCCCCAACATTTCAGGTGGTAGGATTTTGTTCTGTAGCGCAGTACTATCCGGAGGCGATATGGAGTCTTTTAAAGGGTGGTGGGGGGTTCTCTAGGACTGGGGATGTAGCTTACTTGGAAGACTGCTTGTATCGTGTGCTTGAAGCCATGGGTACAATGCCCAGCACGACAAAAACCCAGTGTGGTGGCACACGCCTGTAATCCCAGCATTCTGGCTCGAAAGGCAGGGCTGGAGGTCATCCTCAGGCACATGGCAAATCTGAGGTCAGTCTTGGTGCACTTCAGAGCGGCTCAAAAATAAACAAACAAACAAATAAATATATAAATAAGCAAGCAAGCCTGGCGCTGCAGTACATTCATACACATCTGTCTGGGAGACAGAGGCAGGAAGACTTCTATAATTTCCAGGCCAGCCTGGTCCACATAGTGAGATCCTGTCTCAAAGTAGATACATAGATGATGGATAGATAGATAGATAGATAGATGATAGATAGATGGATAGATAGATAGATGATAGATAGATGGATAGATGACAGATAAATAAATAGATGATAGATGATAATCAGTAGGAGTTGGTGGGGGACAGGGTTCAATTCCCAGCACTCATGTGGTAGCTCATAACTGTAACACCAAGCCCAAGATGTCTGCCCACTTCTGGCCTCCTTGGGCATCAAGCACACGTATGGTGCAAATACATACATACATACATAAATGCAAAACACCTACACACATGGAAACAGAAAAAAATTTTAAAGGAAATAGTAATACAAGAACAAAAAAGGTTTAAAAATCCCTGTAGGCTGTTAAAACATGGTTATTATTTACTATTATTATAGAACAATGGACAACTGAATAATCATTAACAACTTTATTAATATAGACATTTGCAAACAAAGCGATGGTACTAGAATGAATAGTTTTCTGGTAACTTCACCTTCTCAAGTACAATACTGAAAATTATTTCATCCATGTTTACTCAAATTCCCATTTTTTAAAAACAAGAGTCATAGGAAAACATGCTTCTAAAATATTCTGGAACCATAGCTCTTATCACAAAGCCCTATTTCATGTTGTTGACATTTTTGTGTATAGTAGTATTTATAGTACTGCCACCTTAGAAGCCAAATAATTCCAATTAAAGAAAAAAAATCACTTATTGTGCCAACTAATGGTTGATCATTGAGGCAGAAAGGCCTTTTGATGGTGTGGGTTTCTTTGTTTTAATCATCACAAACTTCCCAGGATGACCCCAAAATTGTTGGCTCCAAACCATTGTCGGGAGCTGTTCTTCTGAGTCCCCTGTCTACATGGCTCTATGGAGACAGGCTGGCTCCATCCACCTTGACTTCCTCTCCGGTACCCAATTCTGTACTCAAAGCCATTAGCCAAGCCTGAGAGCCCCAGATTTCCTGAAAGGAGACACAAACAACAATCTCCTCAACTTGTCTCTTGTCACTTGCCAAAGACATCAAGGAACAACTTCAGCTACCTCATTACCATATGGTCCCCAAGACAGGGAGTTGGGTCCCTAAGATAGTAATTAGGGGTTCCTATATGGCTGAAAGACTCTGGGGAGTCTGGTTCAGGACACTGGGGTGCTTATGGAAAGTTTATGGAAACCCAGCCTTTCCACTTGTGATCGGAGAACAAACTGGATGTGAATTCTTAACTTGCATTGAACTTAAGGATTTATGCTCCCTCTAAAAGTTACAAAAATATATTCAAACTCTTTAGCATTGGAATCTGTTCTTAGAACTTTTAAATCAACAAGCTTAACTGATTAACTTCTGTAGCCGATGGATCTTAAGTTAGCCCGTGTACCTGCTTGGCGTTTTCTTTGCCCAGTGTCCACAGGGAAGGCCTTTATAAGTGCAAGAGTCACACGTCATGGCAGTGCACGTCTTTAATCCCAGTGCTTGGGAGGCAGAGGCAGGCCGATCTCTGTGAGTTCAAGGCCAGCCTGGTCTACAGATCGAGTTCCAGGACAGCCAGGGCTACACAGAGAAACCCCGTCTCTGAAAATAACAAAACAAAACCAACTGCCACAGGCCCAATAAGCTATTTCCTGACCTTCAATTTTCCTGCATCCAGCAGGTGTTCCAAAAGCCTTCCAACAGTTTGGAACTTTAATAAGCTCAGAAATATACAGGAGCAAGTCTGCAAAAACTGCCTGTCATCCGGAGATTTTCAATTTATTATTTATGTGTGTAGTGTGTGTGTGCAAGTGCATGCAGGTGTCTGTAGGGGCCTGAAGAGGGCCCTGGATCCCTGCAGCTGGAGTTCCAGGCAGCTGTGGGTCATCTGACATGGGTGCTGGGGATTGAACTCTGGTCCCTCTGCAATAGCGGCAAGGAGCAAGCAAGCACTCAGCCCCCTGGCTGTTTCTCCAGCCCCTTCTTTCTAAATTTCATTTTGGAGACTTCTGTGTGTTTCAGAAATGTCAACAGCAACTGCCTTTAAGTTCCTAGAGTTTTAAAGATCACTGAGGCTTCCTGCCCTGTGTGGGCCATGGATCTGAATCTTAGCCCTGTCCTGGCGACTGACGTACATTGACTTTCCTTAATTAAGTCCCTTCTTCCAGAGGGAGGATCTTTTTCTTGCTCCGTTCTCACAGCAGTACTGACTGGCTTTTCTCTGCACTTGGTTCCTTATGGGTTTCTCATCTATATGTGTGATTGGTTCTATGACATCTACACAGGCACACAATTCTCAAGCCCCTGGGGCACAATCAATCAATCCCGGGTTCTACATCTGGTGTCAGGGCAATTCGAAACTGACCAGAGCAGTAAATGATCGTGAATGTCGAGATAGTCAAATTTTAATAAATTTCCACAGATTCAACCAGTTTAGAAAGCCTGTCTTGACTCTGGGTGTTTTCTCGTCTTCCTGGCTAGTGTCAGTTGGGTTTTCACCTGTGATTTCTTTTGCTTCTATGAAGGCCTCATACATTTTCTGGACTCTGATCACCTCTTTCTGTGCATCGAAATGAACTTTCTGCCTGGTCAGAATGGGCACAATCAAGTTGAAATCACTAATTCTCTTGTTCAGCTTTCGGATGTTTTCTTGAAACTGCTCACAGACCTGGTTCCACTGTCTCTGTCCCCCAGGTGTCAGGGGGTCCCCAAGCTTCTTCCTGGACACTAAAAGTGCTTCTCGAAGTTGCTCAATGGTATCCTTGATTTCCTTCTGCATCAGAATCCACTCTGGCTGGTACCCGTTATCTATCAATATTCTGTTTAGGTTGTGAGTCATGGGATCGATATATGAACATCCAGAAAACTTCTTCAGAGGCTTTCCTTTCCCACTGAGATTGTCGAAGTCTCCTTTTGCCATCGACTCCTGAATGAGGTCCTCCACCAGGCGCTCTATGGCTTGAGTTATCTTTAGTTCTTTGCTCTGCCTTACATCTCTCACAGTCACGATATTAGCAAAGTGCTCCCTCTCGAGTTTCTGTCGTTGATACTCCATCACCTGCTCCGTCGCACGGTCTGCCCGAAACTGTCTGTACTGTTTCTCCCGTTGACTTGGCGTCCCAAAGCCAACGCCTTCGAAGCTTAAGTAGTGTCGGTGCTGAGGCGTGTTGTATTTGAATTTTTCTTCTTCTTCTTCTGTGTCTTCAGCTTTACTTTGCTTGGTGTGTGTTTGTTCTATCACGTGGGAAAGCACGTTCCTATAAGCTTCTTCGATCTTTATGAATGTTGCTGAATCGGCATCGTTAGAGCCGCTGTCTGGATGATACAGCTTGGCAAGCTTATGAAAAGACTCCCTGACATCGTCTACAGAGCACCCTTCGTGTAGATTCAGCAGCCTATAATATTCTTTGATCTTCTTCTTGGACTTATGGGTTGAGATCATCCTAGATCCAGGACCTGGAAGCATTTTTACCCCGTGAGGAATCAATGAAGGACTTACTAGATGTGGTCTTAAGATCTGAGCCATCTTCATGCATGTCGTTGTGTTTATCATTGTATCTGGAAGCTTCCCAACAATGATCTACAAAACAGCAAAGAACAGTACACTCCTATTATCAGTCACTTTCTATTTTTTCAATAACAAAGTAAAGTAAGGTGCACTTAGTAAGCATCAGTTCTTGGAGGCAAGAGAGTGGACTGAGGTTTGGTTCCCAGTACACACATGGCAGCTCGCAAATGGCCCTAATTCCAATGCCAGGGGTTCTGACACCTTCAGTCCTACACCGGCATGGTGGTTAGACATTCATGTAGGCAAAACACCCATATGCATATAAGAAAGAAAAAGAACAGTCAATTCTTTGTAACAATGTTGCTATGCCAAATATATGTGTATAGTCATGTTTATACATTTTACTGATTTTAGCTAGAAGGTGGACAATGGTGTTTAGCAATTATTGTGACACAATCTGAATTCCACTCACCAAGCACAGAATTTTAGACCTAGAAAGTTCTTAGAATTCTCCTAAGCCAACTTTCTCATTTTATAAGAAAGCAGGTCCAGAAGGTTAAGCAACTTAGTCAAATAAAACTACAAGGTATCAGATGACAGCTCCTAACAAATTATGACCAATGATTAGGGCTGGGCACAGTAAGGACTTGGCTGGACTGGTTTCTGTTTGTTTTGAGACAGGGTTTCACTGTGTAGCCCTGGCTGTCCTGGAGCTCACTCTGTAGACCAGGCTGGCCTCAAACTCACAGAGGTCCACCTGCTTCTGCCTCCAGAGGGCTGGGATTAAGGTGTGAGCCACCATGTCCCACACTCGGTTTAATTATATCCTCAGCAAACTGCACATATTCCCAGACACCATTTATTTTGTTTTGTTTGGTTTTCCCTTCCAGATAGTGTACCATGGTCGTCATGAATGCCCGTTGCACACTAAACGGGGAACATCAGGGACAGGTACCCAGTGTGCAACCGACTCTAAGCTCTGCACCTCACTAAGTGCTGGAGAAGGAGAAGTGAGCGAGCCCCTGCTGTATTGTAAACGCATGGGCATGATTGTAAGGCGAGTTTTAGAAGTTATGGGCACCGGCGTCATAACACGGGGGTCGATGGATTAGAGTTGTCTGGAGTGCTGGCTGTTGTGCTCACCGTGGGGAGGGGTGACAGCGTCAGTCCCCCTGCACCCCTACTCACCTTCCCAGACCCGGTGGGGGCCCTGCGGCTCGCGGCCCCGCTCGCCCTGCGCTGGCTCGCTAGGCCCCCTCCGTCCCGGCCTCCCCGGAGCCGGCTGCTGCTGGCTACACTGCGCAGCCCCTCATCGTACCTCACTGCGACAGGTGACACCGGCGCCTATCTCACAGGGCCACACCGCAGGGGACAGAGGTCAGGCACCTGCAGACGCCCGTTGTACCCGGGGGCGACAGGCTCCGCCTCCACAGCCTTCGAGTGCAGGGTTTGGGCGGTTGGGATCATGGGAAATGTAGTTCTACGCCAGGTGCGGCGCGGGGGAGGGGGGGCCGGCTGGCCCAGGTGTGATGGGTTTGTGACTCCAACGTGTGTGTGATTTGGAGAGCACTGGCCCTCGATAAATTGTTTTGGACGGAGGAAGATTGGGCTGTTTGCCCCTGTGGGACACCTCACCTGCATTGTCAGTAGGGTTAGGGTTAGAATGTCTTTCATTCAGCCAGTTTTGTTTTTTGGCACGCAATGTCTCACTTAGTCCAGGCTGGCCTCGCATGGACTATATGGTAGGGGGCAGGGGGCACTTTGGGTTCCAACCCCCCTCCCTCTCCTTTGTCACTTGTTTGTAGGAAGCTGGGGGTGCAACGCTAAGGGCTTGTACATGCTAGGCTAGCAGTCCCAGAGCGCTGGCAACTGCTACACCCCACCCCAGCAGCAGCGGAGCTCTGCACGCGGCCAGGCGCTGGAAGCCTTGGCTTCAAGTTCAACCATTCGGAATTAAACATGCTCCCCTCCGCCTTGTAGGGCAATTTCTCTCTCCCCCTTTATGTGTGCGGGTGTTTTGCCCGCATGCATGTATTTGCACCAGGTGTATGCGGCGCTCATGGGGAGTAGAAGAGGTTGTTCTGAGGTAGGGGTGGTGCATGCCTTTAATCCCAGCATTTAGGAGGCAGAGACAGGCGGATCTGTGTTCAAGGCCAGCCTGGTCTACACTGTGTTAAAAAGTCCATGCAAATCAAACAAAACAGCCCAGGTCTTACTCAAAAGGAGTAAGAAATGGCTTCTTCTGAGCTACATGGATGCCTGTGGCTGGGAAGGAGACTCAGCTTGCTCAGAATAACATGTCCCACGAGGGGAGTAATTATGTGGGAGTTAATTAGAGAACAAAGAAAGCCATAAATCAAGGCACTTACCAAATAGTGGGTGGGACCACAGGTTGGAAGGCTGAAGTGAGATGGCCCAACAGGTAAAGGTGTCTGCCACCAAGGCTGGCGACCCGAGTTCAATTCCCAGCATCCACATGACAAGCAGGGACTGACCCCTTCGAGTTTTCTCTGTGGTCTATACCCACTACCCCCAACTAAATAAAAACACAACCGGGATTGAAGTTGGTCATGGCAGTGGGCACCTCTAATCCCGGCACCCGAATCCTGGGAGGGATGAGAGCAAGAGGTCACAGTGAGGCTCAGGTCAGTCTGGCCTGTATGGTGGGACCCTGTCACAAACAAGCAAGCAAAGTGAAACTCAATTTCGGTGACACATTCCAGCCACAGCCCTGTCAGTTTCCTACCCTGTGGTGGCTTGAAAGAAAACGGCCCCCAAAGGGAGCAGCACTATTAGGCGTGGCCTTGTTTGAGTAGGTGTTGTCTTGTTGGAGGAAGTGCGTCACTGTGGGGGTGGGCTTTGAGTCTCATATGTGCAAGATGCCTCCCAGTGTTTCAGTCCACTTCCTGTTGCCTTCTGATCAAGAGTAGCCTGCACCACGTCTGCCTGCGTGCCGTCATGCTCCCCACCATGATGATAATGGACTGAACCTCTGAAACTGTAAGCTGCCACCCCAATGAAATGCTTTCCTTATAAGAGCTGGCATGCTCACGGTGTCTCTTCACAGCAACGGAAACCCTCAGACACTGTCCTCTGGTTCCTTCTAGGTACTGCTGATGGAAGTGATTACAAAGGGTTGTTGTAAAACTTTACTTCTAGCTTTCTGGGACTCCTGCTTACAAGCACAAACTTGAATTAACAGAAAACAAAAACCTATAAAAAAAAATCATGCACTCTTCTGTGAAGACCTGCAGATCCAGAATTTAAAACAAGAAGGAAGTGGATATTGTTTGTTTTTAGAATAACTTCTAGATTCCTTTCAGTTCCCCTCTCTCCTTTTAGTCTGGAAGATGAATCTCAATTGGAAGCTTAGAGGGAATGGGAGATTTACATCAACAAAGTTAGGGGACTATTTGAAAGAGGGTACTGATGGCAGATTTGGAAAGAATTGGCCAAGTGTTCAGTGAGAGGCTCCAGATTTCATTAGTCACTGGGGAATGGAAGGCACTACAGTGCATAGCAGTGTCACTCACAGGAGTAGCTAGGGTTGGTGGGGTCCCCTGTGAATCAGCAAGGCTGTGGGACTCATGCACTGCTGGTGTGAGTGTGACTTGGCCAGAAGACTTGGCAGTGTCTGCTAAGGCTGGACACAACAACACTTGGTGCCCCAGTAATTCTCTTCCCAGGCACCTAACAGAAAAACAAAGGTGAGTTCAGCAGCCCTCATTATTATAGCACCAGACTAGAAACATTCAGATGTCTTCAGTGGAGTGAACAAACTGTGAGTTTCCCACTGAATTGTGATCCAGATCTTACACTAATGTGAGCCAGCAAAGCTAGACACAGAAAGCATACATATATATCATGGTATTCCATTATATAGATGTTGATGCCAACACACACAGACAGACACACAGACACACACACAGAAACACACACATGGACATGGACACACACAGACACTTGGTTCAAAGGGAATACAATACGAGGATATTTATTCTAAAGGCAAACTGAAATGTCCATGGCCCAAGAACAGACTCAGGTTACCCACAAAATCCATGACCAAGGATGGAAACATAAATCAAGACATCTCAAATACATTATTGGAAACATCTGCTGGGAAATTGGTTGTAGGCCCCCGTGCTAGAAGTTAGGAGTCTGCACATTCCAGAAAGATTTTATCTAAAAGTCTCAAAGATGTTTGGTCACTTACAGAGGTGGGCAATACATAGCAATTTAGGGGGCTAAGTAGCCCAAGAAAATGTGGCTCTGGATAGACAACATCTCTCCTGTCACAGAAATTCAGGGCAGTGCGTAGGCCCTGTGGAAGGACTCTGTAACAAAGGTTGGCTCTTTTCTGGGAATGTCATTTCATTTAAGCGCTTAAGACCAGCTGGGCACACACGCCTTTAACCCCAGCACTCAGGAGGCAGAGGCAGGATGATCTCCGTGAGTTTGAGGCCAGCCTGGTCCACAGAGCAAGTTCCAGGGCAGGCTCCAAAGCCACAGAGAAACCCTGTCTCGAAAACCCAAAAAAGGAAAGTATGCAAGTTGATCTAAAAGTTTATTTTTATTATTTAGCTAGGTAGCTCTGGCTGTCCTGGAACTTGCTCTGAACTCCAAGCTGGCCTTCAACTCAGAGATCCCCCTGCCTCTAGAAAAATGTGATTAAAGGCATGTACTATCATACCCCATCCCAAAAATAAAATAAAAAAAAAAAAAGAGTGGTAATACGTAAAGCCTCCTTTCTGGCATTACTTTCCATTTCTGATGAAAAAAGTAATGACGAAAGATTAGCCATTAACTCTTATTAAATAATATACTGTACTTTAATAACCTACTTTACTTTTGGAGACAGATCTCACTCTGTAAACCTGGCTGCCCTAGAACTCTGTAGACCAGGCTGGCTTCGAGCTCAGAGCTCAGAGCTGTACCGCCTCTGCTGGGATTAAGGGTGAGCATCACCAGCAGGCAATTTAGTTCATAGTTTCTATTAGTGCGACACTTTAACCCATAGCGTTTCCTTGGCATTGTCCAACCTTCCCCCATACAGGACAGGTGCTCAGCT